AAGTAATCATATTTATATTTCTATTCCAATTTAACAGTATGTCTGTGACAGAGACAATGTTCTGTGTTTCCCAAACTCTATTTCCTTTTCTTCCTGGGCATACAGTGAAGCCACATTTTCCACATTCCTTTGTAGGTCAGTGTGGATTTGGAACACATCCTGGGAAGTGAACTCTGAGTAGAACAGATATATTTTCACACCAGGCTCATAAAATCTCTCTGGAAAGCCTCATACTCTCCACTGTCTGTCATCATCTGCTGATGAGATATAAAGTTTTTGGTGTGGCAGTTCAATGTCCTAGGTACGGTAGAGTCACTCAGTGGCAAGAACTTGAGTCTCTTGAGTGATTGTTAGAACTCAGATCTGCTATTGCAATTCATACTGGATGGTCATGATATAAGCAAGAAAGAAATGATCAGCAAGAAAAGGAAAGAACAATAAAGTAAACCAATAGAGAATATTTGATTGGATTTGACTGGAAAAATAAAATTATGTGGTTGACCCTTTTAATGCTGAGGCACATGACTGATCTCTCCTTGGTCCTAACCCATGGAATAACTTGGGTTAGAGTTCCAGAGAAACAACCCCTGTCTACCCTGTCACCATCTGCATGGTTCTTGACTAAGAAGTGGGTAGCTCTTGGCCAACTGGAAAATTTCATGGCAGTCAGGGCTCTTGTCTAAGAGCCATCACCAGAGTATGCATTCCACCTGGATATCAGTGGCATGATCTAGGACACAAAACAATCCAAACTAATTAATCAAGAGTAGGGAGCCAAAACTCTCATCATTGAAATCCTAACTGGAAAAAATGTAAGTGGATTAGCTAAAAAGACATAAGAAAACCTACTTTTTTTTCTTTTTCTGTATTTAGGGCAGAGTCTACAGGGTCTCACTATGTAGATCAGACTCATAGTGATTCTCCTGTTTTCAGCCTCCCAAGTGCTGGGATTACAGGTGTGCACTACCACGCCCAGTCTCAATCTCTGGCTCAATGTACCCCAGGGGCAGGGCCGGCAAGGCACGCTGGAGATCAAACCCTGGCTGCTGTACTCTGGCTCTGCCTAAGCAGGTGCTTTAGTCCACTGAGCTATCAGGCTGGCCCTAAGAAAACCTACTTTGTATATAGCAATGTCTTACTCAAATTGTACTCTTTAAATAAGGTTAGTCATTTTGTACTTAGTTATTTTAATTGAGAATTTAGAGCATTTTTTCTGATATGTTATTTATGTGGTACAATTGATCCATTTCTCTTTAATAATACTACTAGTATTTACTATATTTTGGTAAAAATAGAAAAAATAAACTTCAAGTGGTTTAAACAAGAAAGGTGATTTATTAGATTGTACAGCAAAAATCCAAAGAAGGCCACCTTCTAACTGGTAAGGGAGGCCATTGTCAGGCCATACTGCAGGAATAGCCACTGAGGTGGGCAGGATCCTCCTGCCTTCTGGTCTCTCCCCAGTGGCCCCATCTGCAGAGTAACTAGTTGGCAAAGCACAAACATACTCACAATTTACAGAGTCAAAGCTCAGCATCGTAGAACTGAGTCCAGAAGAGAGCCATACATGGAGCCATGCATGGTGGCACATGCATGTTTTTTTTATGCCAGTCTGGAGTATATAATGAAACTCTGACTCAAAAACAAGGAAAGAAAGGGAAGGAGAATGGAAAGGAAGGTAGGGGAGGGAGGAGGAGGGAGGAAGGGAAAAAGGGAGGAAGGAAAAGGGATTGGAGTGGGCACCTGTAACTCAATAACTAGCATACCTCTATAACATGCTAACGTTCTTCAGAGCATTTTACTTATCATAGCCTTCCTGGACATTTTACTTTCCTAGATTTAAACTTTAATCTCTTTAAAGTCTGCCCCCAGGAAAAATCCTCTGGCTGATACTTACTAGCACTGTCAGATCTTAGATGACTTCTTTCTTAGAACACTTCAGCACGGTACATTATAAACTGGCTAAAAGACTCTGTCCTCCAGCCTTCATTGCATGTGGGTGTGGCCCTGACTCAGGTCTGGGCAATGAAATCATTTTAAGTAAGCAGAAGATCACACAGACTTTCAGAAGTTTCTCTTTTTGAAGTGCAAGTGGGTGCTTTTCTCCCCTTTCTCTGTTCTGCTTCCTGGAACATGGAAGTGATGCCTGGACACTAGCGGCCATGCTGGAAGATGGGGTTGGTTGTCCTTAGAGGTGGGGGAAGACAGACTAGAGAAGCACAGACTGGTAATGACTCGAGAGCTGTCATAACCATGACACATATAGCTAAATAATGATCTGCTTTACATGACAAGCGAATTTATGTTTTCAGCTACTATTTTTCAGCTCTATTTTACTTGCATAGACTTTTTTTTTTTAATACAAAGCACAAAGGGAAGTTGAGAAGCAAAAGACTATTCCATCCTTTCAGGACCTAACAGTTATTTTTTTTTTTGTTAGACTATATAAAAGCAAGTTATATAAAGTAACTCCATGCAGTATCACAGGAAAATAAAAACATATCCTGTCATATATGAATGATGAGAATATTCTCAAAGCATAAAAAATAAAAATAGTCGCTGCTTTTCATAGGCTGAGCCTTCTACAAGCAGTAACAGCAGTGACCCCGAGGAGAGCCAAGAGGTGTGTGAAGGCAGTTCATAGTGAAGTGCAAACACTTTGCTCTGCTCTGTTCTGCACAAGGCATGTGTGCCAGGGCAGCAGGATTATTCTCTACTCTGGGGAGACAGGAAAGGAGGAGGTATGGAAGGACTAGGGACAGGAGGGGTGCTGAGAGCTCGATCTCTATCTGGCCTCTCCCTGCCTGTACTTTCAGCTAAGCTCTGGAGAATGAAGCACCCAGGAGAACAGGCCCACTGAGCTGGCCTCCCTTACAGAGTGAACAGAGATTTAGAAGGGCTTTTTTCTTAACATCTTCCTTCTTGAGACTTTATGATTAATGTGTGTTGGAAAAGGTTGGAGATCTTTTTTATTTTAGTGTTTTATGGTAGTTAGTGAACATTTTAAAACAGTGTTTTAAAAAGAAATCCATACAGTGAGAAATGTTCCTCCTACCTTTGTCTCTCCACTGGTCCCACTCCTTAGTCACCACTAATGGGAGATTTTGTGTCACACCTGAGTTTACTTTTGTACATTTAGCAAGTAAAGCTGTCACCTTTTCTCTGCCATTTTTCACATCAGTGCGGTCCATCAGACACCATTCATACCTTGCTGTTTTTCACCCACACATTGTTCTGCCTTGTTTCTGCTTTCACCTAATGATAGGCACTTAGTGTTTTCTAATCTTTTGTTATTTCAAACCACAAATAGTCTTTTATGAATTCATTTGCATATGTGAAAAAGCCAAATAATAAATTTCAAGAATGGAATTGCTAGATCAGGTGTGCCTGCGTGGTTGGTAAGTGTTACCGAAGTTCTCTCTGTTGGTTGTTTACAGTGTCCCCTCAGCCAGTAAGGTATGGGAGTTCCTGTCACTCTGTAACCTCACTGAAAGTGTGTGTTGTCAGACTTTTGGATTTTTGCCAATCTGATAAGGTTTTTATTTTTTTTTTAACCTCCTGGTATCATTTTTGTTTGAATTTCTCTTATCACAAGCACATTGATCCATACTTTAAAATTTTCTTGCCTTATCCATGTTCCTGTTCAATGCTTAGCTTTCATGGTCATTAATCATGAAATTGCTGGGTACATAAAGGCATGTTTGACTAACAGACATGAAAAAAGTGGGCTGCTTTGCAGAGCAGATGCTATTTCTCCCGGTATAACATCCCTAAGGAACATCCCAGCTATATTCCTAATGGGTAGTCTTTTTATGTTGATGGTCTATACCTTGCTTTAGTTCTAAGATATTTCAGAAGAGCTACAATAAAAGAAAAATAAGTAACAATGCCTGCATGAAAAGTAAGATTAAAAAAAAAGAAAGAAAGAAAGATAAAGTAAAGCTAGGAAAGTGGTCCATATACTAAATATCCACAGCCATGGCTACAGGCAACTCACATAGTTGACCAATACAAAGAGAAAAATACAGCTCAGCAGTAGCATAATAGAACCTGGCCTTTCTTGGGTGATCATAGATCACACAAAACTGCTATAGCAAGGGTGTTGAGAGAAGACAGTCCCTTGCTCTCTGCCTTCATGCTCCAGATGAGGTGCCAGATATGAGCAGAACAGTAAAGACAGCTACAGAACTGGATAGAAGGTGCTTCAGTCCATGGGAAGAAGAGATACAAGAAGAACTTCCAGCAAAAACTTAAGAGAAAGTGGAGAGAAATGTGCTCAGAAAGTACAGCACTCAGTGAGACAGCTGCCTCCAAATACAACCTAAATCAGGATGGGCTATTGAGGTCACAGAAAAAGAAGGCACTTGGCACCATTTATCAAGCTGTAGGAGTTGCTGTAAACTAACATCACCCTAATTCCACTGAAATTCCTATGGTGTCCCGTGGTCTACTCTCTTCCATGACCTTGCTCAAGCTTCTTTGGTCATCTGAGGTTCTTTTTCTAGCCAAGTCATATTTGGAGCTGAGCTCTGTAGAAAAAAGATTGTTGTAAGGCTGGATGTTGACAGCCCATTGTAAGGACACATTCAAGTTTCTACCAGAGGGGAACATAATTCCAAGAGTGTCAGGAAAAACTGCCTGCCTTCTTCATGTTTATATAAAATGACAGGACTTTACTTCCCAGCATATTTCATGCATAAAATTGTCACTTCAAGTCTCCATTGAGCCATTAGCCATACTGTGATTTAAGCTGTAGGAAGAAATATTTAATTAGAAGAGAGTGTGAGAGGCAGTAAATAGTCCTAGAGCACTGGGGTGAAAGTTTATAAAAGAAAAGAAACCTAGGTGTTGTTTTATTGTTTTCACACACACAAAATCATAGGTCAATATCAAAATAAACTAATTTTCTTTCTTTTCATGCAAAATAAACTAATTTTCTTTCTATCATTTCTCCAGACAAACCAAGTAAGTGTTTTTACTTATAATATTTTGTCTCCCAGGCATTCTATAAACCACTGTTGAAGCAGGTTGTGGAGGAAATATTTAATCCCGAGAAGCAAGATCCTGTTGATATTGAGCACATGTCTTCAGGCCTCACTGATCTCCTTAAAACTGGATTTAGCAGGTTTATGAAGGTAAGTAACCGTGAAGAGGTAATCCTGAGTGTAATAGCATTCCCTTTGCTGGCCATGAAAATGCTGGCACCCCGTTCCCTTGGCCAGTGCCGTATACGTGGTGCTGGGATTTGGGCTCCTCTAACATCCTGGAAATTTTTATTTATGTTTTGCTTATAAGCAGTCTTGCTTTGCTGGCTTCTACAGCGTCTCTGAGCTGAGCACTGTGATCTTTTCTGGCCCAGATGTAAAGTGTAAGATGAAGACACAAGACTTCCAGAAGGGCACCACTGAAAACTTTGCTTGTGGCCTAGGTTTCCACTTAACACAAATCCATTTACTGTTTACCTGACTTATTAACAGTCCTCTGAGCGCAGCAGCATAAGCACCTGCCTGGCAAGCACAAGGTCCCGAGTTTGATACCCAGTACCACAAAATAAACAAATGAATAAATTCAACAGTCCTCTGTTCTTTTTTATGAGAAAATAAAACAAGATCTTACAATCCAACGAGAGAATAACAATAGTTATTACATTGTGTATAATTATCTTCAAAGTAGTTACTCAGAGTACAAGACATAAAACGAAAACAATCTTATTAAAAAAAAGACAGATAATAATGCTCAACTTACTATGTAGGATAATGAGCACCCTGTGACTAGCGTTACCCCAAAACCCATTTGGAAATGACTTTTGTTTTTGCTTGGCAGACTCCTGGGTGACAAGTGCTAGACTTTCTCCAACCTATATCTGGGTGGGTTGGAATGACTGAATAGCACTTGAAGTGGGGATGAAGGAGGGGAAAGTACACAAGTGGGGTCTATTTTTAACCCACTGTAAAGTTTCTAAATTTAAAAGGACCTAACAAGATCACAGACTGACCTTCCAGGCTATGCCAGGATTTCAGTGGTAATAACTCTTGGAAATAACAGAATGTTTTGCCAACTTTAAAGAGACTGTGAAATCATTAATTAAACTAGATAGAAGATCTGGCCTTTTAGAGTTCAGGAAATGTGTGTTCTGGGAAAATTGCTCTCCTCCAAAAGCCAGAGTACAGATGCCAGACAATCAGATTCTAAACCAAGCAGTAAACAGGCTGGAGCAGACACGCTGGACTCTGTTTGGCTATTCCAAATAACTAGGAACTTCTGTTGCAATGCCTCGCTGGTATATTTTCCTTCTTTATTTTTTCCTAATAAAGCAATGCAAATCAGATTCTTAAAACTATCCAAGAGCCCCTCTGTTGAGTGCAAGCCCTGTCCCTTCATGGTGGGAAATTTCCAAGATACCCATGGTTTCCAACCTTCTCCACTTAACACTCTCCTCCTGTTTTCATAAGTTTGGACTTACTCCTAAAGACAGACAGACAAACAAGAGTGGACTTTCAGGTCCAAGGATGGCCCAGTGTCGTGTGTGTCCTTTCCCAGATAGGCTGCTGCATTTGGAGTACAGCAGGTCCTGCACAAGAGGTCTGGGCAAGGGCACAAATGACAGCTTACCCCTTCCTGCACTTTGAGGAGTACAGTGTAGAGAGGAGAATCTGGCTCAATTGATTCAGATGTGATATTCTTTGGATGAAGAGAACTACTTATTAGCAAAAGGACTCTGTGATTAACTATGTTGAGGAAACGCTAGGTCTAACAAATTTAATTACTTATGCAGAATCCAACAACATTATAACACCTTTCACATACTAACAGGCTCGTCACTCTTCCAGAGATGAGAAGTGAATGTATTAGGCTTATAGTCATGTTGAACAATGACTACTCACATGCATTTTCTGTCATTATTTCATGTTTTAAATGTCATGTCATGTTTTAAAAATATCCTCACAAACTCAGTTTTCTACATCTTTTTGTGATCAGAAACTCTCTTCTCCTAAGCATACCTTGGCTATAAGATGTTTGGAGTCCTCCTGGGCCAGTGCTGGGAAACAGTTCCTCTCTGTATTCAAAGCCCCTTTGTTAAGCTTCTGCAGAAATGCTCTGCCGCTCGAGACTGAGCTCAGAGGGAGGTGTGCAAGCAGTGGATTAAGAAGAAGGAATCTTTTCTCCCAACAGCTGCCAGTGTCCAGCACTCAGCACACAGATGTGGATCTCTGCTCTCAGTAGCCATGGCATCTCATCTGTCCACAGGGTGTGACAAGGGTGTCCCTGGACCAGCCACAAGGCTCTTTCCACCCCAGCACCCCAAGGGGGAGTTATTTTATTTCTAAATGGGCATTGATAGCAGGGTTTGCCTGTCATGCATACAGTTAAAGAAAGTTATGTATGGCCCATGCATTCTTGATTTGAACAAAATTGGGACAAACTTAAAGAAGAACAATCAGTAGAGGTTTAAGGAATTAGCTGTAATTTTCCAAAGAACCACTTTTTTTTCTTTTTTTTTTTTTTTTTTTTTTTTTTTTTTTTTTTGAGATGAGTGTGAAGCCATCTAGAGAGATTTCCATTCTGCTCTAAGAGCCTTAGAGAGATGAGGATGTATGCCACAGATAGAATGAAACATGGCCATGGCTGTTGACCACACTCCCTTTTCCATTTTCCTTTGCTTCACACCATGCACACCTATGAAGATAACCTGTGATCAACACGTTCCCCAGGGTCAGTCAGACTGTTTCCATCCATTCTCATAAGAATCTGCACAATCACCTTAGCAGGTAGTCCTGTATTATCCCTATTTTACCAGTGAGAAAACCAAGGCCCAGGAAAAGATGGCACCACGGTTTGTTCAAGTTACTCTTGTTCCAAGTCTTATGCTCTTAATTACAACATTTCTTGGCCTCAGGATGCTGCCAGGCATGTTCTTGGTAGCATATGTTGCTAATTCTGATTTTACTCGGGATTACTCCTTAGTACAAATGCTTTGCTTCTCTGTATCTGTGCAGCTCACAAATGAAGTCAATGCCTGGAGTCATTTGCTGGTACCCTGTCTATTGTTCTGGGACTAGGAGCCTCAACACATTGCGTCTCCATTCTGGATCAATAGCCAATGATTTTCCTTATGAATTTCTTGCTACCTACTATCCTGCTCTCTGCCTCCAGAATCTGCTCCCTACCTTCTCACTCAAGACTCACCAGTGCTGAGCCAGAGGATACAAAGATGTAGAGCATGATGAAATAGAGTTGTCCAGGTTCCATTCTTCATGTGTGCAGGCTCTAACTAAGAGCCTGCAGTTATTCCCACAGGACACACTATATGCTCCCTTCCAGCAAGAAATAGAAAGAGTACAGGACCGGCCTGTGTGTGTGGTTCAGGGATCTATACCTTTTGTGCACACCCCTGAGGCCACACTTATATGCTGTATTATAATTATACATATTAGTCATCTTTCTCCAGACTAATGGTTTTTTTCAAACTCGTATTTTTCAAATTATGCAAGCTCATCTATTGTACATTAGTGAATCGAGATATCGATTCAATAGTTTTGATCAGTTTTTAAATTTTATTCTCATTTTTTCTTTATATATTTATATTATAAAAATAGTACATGCTGTTTTATTAAGATAAATGAGATAAAATATGTAATGAGATATTTTCTAAATTATCTTGCACCTATACAAGCTCACATACCTTCCCACAAGGGAAATGATAACTATTAATTCTGTCTACACAATTGTATACATACATACATACATATAAATAGAATTTAACTATATTGATGCTAACAGTAGGATCATACTACACGTTATTCTAGAAATTTTTCTTCTGAGTCAGGAAAAGATCTATATTTTATATGAACATGGTACCTTTTCTATAACTAGATGCATGTAACTGTTCCACTGTACTGGAGGGGACACAGAGGGAGGACTGTCCCCATGTACAGCACTCAGACCATTTCCTTTTTTTTTTTTTTGTCATTATGAACAAAAGTTTCATTATCTCCATGTATGTATCTTTACATAGCATTTTTTATTTTATAAAATAGCTTCCAAAAGCCTTTGAGTCATTGATTCATAAGCTATGTTTAATTTTTTTATGTTTAATTTTAATGTCTGATAATTTTCTGAAAATTTGTTCTAACCTCCACTCTTACCAGATTTGAAAGAACTATTTTCCTGTATCCTTAGCAGCTCTAGACTTTTTTCTCCCTTTAAAATCTTAGACATTTAATAGTAAATGTTATTTCATTATTGTTCTTGATTACAATTATAATGTCTAATGGAAAGGAATGGGATAGGCTAAATTAGAGTTCATCACATCTAATGGAGTAAAGCGGAACAATCTAGTCACATATATGATTAAAATGTTTTTGTGACCATCGGTCAGACTTAAATGGGAAAACCATGGCTGTGAGAATGGAATATTTTTCTTTCTTTTTTTGCACTGGGGACATTGCACTTGCCCGGCAGGTGCTTATGCTGCTGAGCTATCTCCCTGGCCCCGAGAATGGGAGGCTGATAAAAATTTTGTTCTTTTCTGCATCCTCCGCCACTTGGCACCTTTTTGGGCCTTGTATGCAGGAGACACTGACTGAAGGTGGAAGAGTAGTCAAGGTTAGTCACCTTGACTTATCATAGTGCTTATTCATAAAACAGCACAGCTTTAAATCTTTCCAACTCTAGCAGTCCCTCCTATCCACAGGGGTTGTATCCCAAGATCCCTGGTGAATGCCTGAATCCACAAATAGCACCAAACACTTTATGTGTTATTTTTTCTTATATATACATACACCAATTTAATACCTTTTTATCTTATCTAAGCACATATCACATACTGTGGTCGTTCATAAATTTTATAGTTTGTAGTCTGACAGTAAAACCATACTCTTTCTCTTTCTTTCCAATTTCACAGATTTATTCTTACCATGCATCTTAACTTTAGTATATAATTTTCTTATTAAGCCCTGAAATTTCATGTGTTAACGTAAGTGAATCACTTTATAACTTCTCTTTAGCATATCTAAGTTGCCAGCATAGATACTCTTGTGCTTTGGGGCACCTATTAAATAAAATAGAGTACTTGAACACAAGCCCTGTGATACTGCCACAGTTGACTTGACAGCCCAGATGGCTACTAAGTGAC